ACCCTTGTCCCTGCCAGGGGGCTGGAGGTAGGGCAAACACTTGGGCAACGGTGGGGAGGGTGCGGCTGGGCAAGGCGGAAGATAGCCAAGAACCCATCGTGGGGAGGCGGGGAGGAGGTGGGAAGGAGAACTGTGTGAGCGGAGGCTCCAAGCCCCCTGGGCAATCTCCATTGTCTCAATAATTTCACCTATAAATCAAAAATTCAAAGATAACGTTATTAAGAATTCGAAGGTGGTGACCACAGAGCATTAGACCTCAAATGTCCTGGGCTTTGTGCAGGGACACTGATCACATGACCATGAAATCAGGCCTGCTCAGGAATGTTATGAGGGAGTTAGTTGACCCACAAAGAGGTAAGGAGTCAACAAACAACATAGTTTTAAAATAAAGAGAAAATAGCTTTCTGTTGTTCCTTCCCATGATTTGTACATGAAAATTTTTAAATACCTATTTTATGTTCTTTAAGAAAATTTGACAAACCTCCCACTGATGCATATAAAAAAATCGACAGGAAATACAACTTTCCCCATTCAAACCATATTCAGTGTTCTTGGTTAATAACAATAATAATGGTACTACTAGCTGAACATATCTAGGAGACATTGTGCTAATTAAGCACTATATAGTTCTTAATTTTTAGTTCTATAAATGTACTTTATCGAAATTATCTCATCTAATCCCTAAAACATGGGGCAGATACAATTTTTAGCCCCAATTTGGAGATGAGGATCTTGATGTAGGAAAGACAGCCTAAGGCCAGGATCCAAAAAGAATGTTCTACCATGATCAGACTTTATTACAGTAATGTAGAATAATTCAATACTTAGAAGCCTATAAAGCAGATATAGCTCATATGGAGGTCAAATTCAAAAACTGTGTAATCATCGCTGGAAGCTGAAAAGGGATTTGAGATGATTCAATGCTCATTCCTTTTTCCAGGCTCTTTTAAATCCAGGAAATAAAGGATACTTTGTTAACAAGATAAAGTATTTGTGTCCAATCAACAGGAAAATATTATGCTTCATTGAAAACATTAGAGATAACCTTATTAAACAAGAACTCAAGATTTCTGCTGTCACAATTAGTATTTTACATCATTCTGGAAGCTATAATCGGTGCAGTAATACAGGAAATAGATAGAAGAGCGATAATACAGGAATGCACAAAGACACATTTACCACCATTTGCATATGATATGATTTACCACCAGAAAACTCAAAACAGTCAACAGAAAAAGATGTCAGAACTACTAAGAGTTTAGTTAAGTAGCTGAAGAAATCAATTGTTGTTCTATATACCGACAATAATCAGACAGAAAAGCCCATGGGAGAAATTCCCATTTTTAACAGCAACAAGTATGGAATATCTAGAAAAGACCTTCTTAGATGTAGTATGACTTAGATAATGAAAGCCATACATTTTGAGGATAAACTACTGAGGTAATTGTTCCTGGATAGGATAAAAATACTATAAAGGTGGTGTGGTGGTTATTTCGTGTCAACTTGACTGAGCCATGGAGTACCCAGATATTTTGTTAAACATCACTCTGGGTGTTTCTGTGAGGGTGTTTTGGATGAGATTAACATTTAAACTGGTAGACTAAGTAAAGCAGATTGGCCCTCTCTAATGTGCTGGGCCTCATCCAGTCCATTGAAGGCTTGACTGGAACAAAGGAATGCCTTCCTAGAGTAAGAGAGGATTCTTCCTGCCTTCCTGTCTTTGAACTGAAACATTGGATCTCGAGCCTGTCAGCCTCAGGACTGGAACTAAACCATCAGCATCCTTAGTTCTCAGGACTCAAGATTCAGTTTGGGAGTAGACCGTCAGCTGTCCTGGGTCTCAGCTTGCTGACTCACCCTGCAGAATTTCACATTGAAATTAATTGAAATTAATTTATCATTTTAAAGTGATTCCAGTAATCACCTGGGAGGAGATATGGTAAGATGATTATAAAGTTCATCTGAAAGTATAAACACGTAAGAATAATTAAGAGGGGTGCCTGAGTGCTCAGTCGGTTAAGTGTCTAATTTCAGCTCAGGTCATGATCTCACCTCCGTGGGTTCGAGCCCCCAGCATCAGACTCTGTGCTGACAGCTCAGAGCCTAGAGCCTGCTTCACATTTTGTGTCTCCCTCTCTCTCTGCCCCTCCCCTGCTCACGCTCTCCCTCTCTCTCTCTCTCTCTCTCTTTCTCTCTCAAAAATAAAAATAAACATTAAAAAAAAAGAATAGTTAAGAAAGTTTATGAAAAGAAGAATTTAAGTGTTGTTGTTGTAGGGGGAGGTAGACTAGTCTTATGGAATATGAAAACATAAAGCTACAATAACTTAAAAAATGTGGTTACAAGGATAGACCATCCAAAGGAAGAGAATAGTATATAATTCAGATATATAAAACATATATAAATATAAAATTTAAATATAAAAATGTTTAAAATATAATTTGCTTTATATTATGTGGCAACAAGAATTATTCTGTAAATAGTGCTGGATAAATTGGCTAGATATTTGCAGGGAAATATAGAGTTAGGTCCTCACTTTTTTTTTTTTTTTTTTTACCATTTCACAAAATTAATCCTGGTGAATTTTTTTAGTTAAATGCAAAGAAAATACAAACTATAAAAATATATGACAGAGTAGTTACCAAATTGGAAGAAGAATTTCTAAGCTTAAAAGCAATGGAAGAAATGGGATATTAAAAAAAAATCACATTCAAATACATAAAAATGAGAACCTTTGAGATTATATGTATGTATATCCCCAACAATACACTGGAAGGTTATTCACAACTTATATGAAAAAAGGGCTATATTTTTATACACAAAGAAATCAAATGAAGAGAGATTTAAGGAACTAAGGCCTGGGGGCACCTGCCCAGCTCAGTCAGTTGAGTGTCGACTTCGGCTCAGGTCATGATCTCGCTGTTTGTGAGTTCCAGCCCGTGTAGGGCTCGCTGCTGTTGGTGCAGACCCTTCTTCATGGCCTCTGTCCCCCTCTCTCTCTCTGCCCCTCCCCTGCTTGTGCCCTCTATCAAAAAAGTAAATAAACATTAAAAAAATATTAAAAAAAACCCTAAGCCCTCAATATTTGTGACAAAGAACATGAGCCGACAATGTGTAAATGATAACAATGTCAATGGTAAGCAAACGGTGCCAAAACAAAGCGATTTCTCGCTTCTGGTAATGGTGGGACAACGTGATCAGACTAACTCTCCCAGAGAGAATAATTCCATGGTACTCTCTCCTGCCACAGCTAGAGCATTTGGGTTCAGGAATCCAGGGGCAGAGGTGAGAATGGCTCCTGTCATTATTACACCTACCACCCACTTAGAGAGTATTTTGCTTCTCATTCCGGCATCTTTGATCTCTGCTGGTCTGGAGACCTTAGTCCTTAGAAGGAACATGGTTCCACCAGGGGACATAAAAATGCTTCCATTATTGGAGAAAGAAGAGATTGCCATCTGGCTACTGTGGACTCCTATGCCACTGAACCAGCAGGCAGAATGATGGGTTGCTCTTCTAGGTGGAGTGATTAGTCCCTATTACCAAGAAGAAACTGGGTTCTGCTACCCAGTAAGGCAAGAAGGACTGTGTATGGAACCCAGGATATATTATGGGTTTCTTAGGACTCCATACCCAGTAGGAAGGAAGAGTTAACAGAAAACTAAAGGGACACACACACACAAAAAATAGACCTACCCTATGACCCAGCAACAGCACTGCTAGGAATTTACCCAAGGGATACAGGAGTGCTGATGCATAGGGGCACTTGTACCCCAATGTTTATAGCAGCACTTTCAACAAAAGCCAAATTATGGAAAGAGCCTAAATGTCCATCAACCGACGAATGGATAAAGAAGATGTAGTTTATATATACAATGGAATACTACTTGGCAATGAGAAGGAATGAAATCCTGCCATTTGCAGCAATGTGGATGGAACTGGAAGGTATTATGCTAAGTGAAATAAGTCAGAGAAAGACAGCGTGTTTTCACTCATATGCGGATCCTGAGAAACTTAACGGAAGACCATGGGGGAGGGGAAGGGGAAAAAAAGGCAAAGCGTAAGAGACTCTTAAAAACTGAGAACAAACTGAGGGCTGATGGCGGTGGGGGAGAAGGGAAAATGGGTGATGGGCATTGAGGAGGGCACCTGTTGGGATGAGCACTGGGTGTTGTATGGAAACCAATTTGACAGTAAATTTCATGTTAAAAAAAAAAAAAGAGCGGATAGTGGGAGAAGTCATCGATAACAATTAGGACCTTGTGACCAGTTACAGAAATGACTGTAGTTGCTTTTCATATTTTCCTTTTGCTTCTTATAGGTATGTGCTTATGGGTACATGTCAACAATATTCCTCTTCTCTTTCCTTTCCATTAAAAATGTTTCTATACAGATTGTTAGAGCTTAATTTTATAGTTCAGTCATTAGGCAACAGAATACTCAGTGGAACTGGCATGGATTTTGACGGGTAATTGGTAACAGCCACAGTAGTGTATCGAGGGATTGTTGGGCTCATAATTGAGTTGTTTCACTTGCGTATGGCGTTCCAGAGTGTGTAGAGGTTACATATGAAAGCTGAGTGTCAAAGGGGTGGATTATGCTTTTATCAATTTCCTTTTAGCTCCCAATTCCCCCCTTTTGCCTGCTCAGTAATAAAGATGGGCTTTGTAAATGTTTCTGATTTGCCAGCCAGCTTGGTGTTAAACCTTGTCAGTTACAGGGTTCTGGAAGGACATAGGAGGAGGAAGGGATTTTCTCCTCCTGGCGTGGCCCAGTCTCTAGGCTCCCAGGCTCCACCTGTTCCCTGTGTGGTCTTTCCAGTGCTAAGTTCATGCAGGATGTGACCGCCTCTAGGATTTGGTGACTGCCTGCCCCCCCCCACTGCTCAATTCAGGCAACTGTGGTATATCTGGGATCCCGATAGCGTGGGACCGGGCCCCGACCCCGATCACTGCTCCCACATCCTGTCTTCGGCCGGGGGATCCCAGGACAACCTTGGAAATGCGCCAGACTTGGGCAGAAGGCGGCTCCTGCTTCTGGCTGTGCCCAGCCACCCGCAGCCCTGGCCGGCACCTGATGAGCCCCAGGGCTCGCCGCGGACGCTGTGATGACGGAGGGCTCGACTGCTCTGTGGACCGTCCTCTCCGGTACCCCAGACTTCCAGCAAGTCTCACTTAGGAGGCACCTCAGCATCTTCACCATCTGGTGAGTCAAAGCTGTGCCCTTTTCAAAGTCTGTTTCTTTAAATCCTTTAGCATATTTATAAGCGCTCTTAAACTTTCTATCTGCTGATTGAAGCATCTGGGCCACCACTGGGTCCGTTTCTAGGCTCCATTTTACCTCTGGCCAAGGGTCACATTTTCCTGCTTAGGGTATAGAATACTTTTGTTTGGGCAGGTGGTCACACAGGCACAGGCAGATCAGCTTGTGCCTATTGTGGATTAATTTTCGGTTTAATTAGGATGGGTTTAGAATTGCTTTTAGAGTAGAGTTACTCTCTTTTCTCAAGTTTATTTATTTATTTTGAGAGAGAGAGAGAGAGGGTATAAGCCAGGGGGAGCAGGGGTGGGGCGGGGGGACAGGGCGAGAGAATCCCAAGCAGGCTCCACGTTGTCAGCACAGAGTCTGATGTGGGGCTGGAACTCACAGACCGTGAGATCGTCACCCAAGCCAAGGTTGGACGCTTCACGGACTGAGGCACTCAGGCGCCCACAGAGAAGTCTTACTCTTAAGGCATGTCTTTCATCGAATTGTTGGGTTGCTCCCTAAGGTCTTCACATCCTGCTGGTTTGAACTCTGATGCCCCTGGCACGGCGTGACCCCCAGTAGTGGCCTTCTGCCATGCAGCCTCGTGGAGTCTAGCCCTGCATATGTGCGGCACGATAGAAGGATAGGTCTACTCAGCCACGGCTGGACCCCAAACTCTGAATTGAGGTTTTGAGTCCAGCAATTAAATATTTCTAGAAATTCTATCTGGCAAGTATATCTGTTTAATCCCAATGTTCTGTGTTGTTGTGAAACTCATTTTGGTGACTTCAGCTTGTTTCCTAGGGAGCCCTGGTGCATTCTGGGTTCAGTTCCAACGTCTGATTTGTTGGGGTCTAATTTGCGGTCTCTGTCGCTTCTCACAGTGGCTGGCCGTGTCTGGGTTTGCCTGCCTTTAAGAGGTTATGACTGTAATCCAGGAGAGTCCTGTTGGTTTCTTCTTTCAGCCGGTGTGTGTCCCTGGGTGAGTACAGGGGTCTCAGGACCCTCCAGGGCCTGCCTGAAGGTGTTAGCCCAGAGGAGGGGGGCCTTGGATTCAGGTTCGCCTCCTGCCTGCTGTTCCAAGGTTCCAAATGCTCACCTGCTGCCAGTACAGAACTCTGGCCTCAGGCCAATCCTGCCCCTTCACAAAGCCTGCAGGCTCCCTCCTCTTCAGGTTCCAGGCACCTGCGAAGTCTGCTGCCCTGGCTGGTTGTTCCTGGTTGTCACCTATGTTCTGGGTTATTTCTAATTCTTCACTCTGGCTACTTGAGGGGCAGGTCTTGGTGTTCTAAAAATTTATGTTTACCTTTTTTTTTTTTTGAAGGGAAAAATCCCTGGAGATGAGAAATGCTTGTGCGTGTTGTATCTGGTGGTCTAGTATTGTGGAAGAGACATTTGCCTCTGACCTTTTGGGGGACAAAAATACACGTATTAATTTTATAATTGGGAGAAGAACAAAGAAGTCAACAGCTCTCTGTATCTGAATTAGTAATGTACATATTTATGCGGTAAATAATCACTATGAGAAATTATTGGTATAATCTGTTTTGCATTCTCAGGTTGCCTAATTTATTTCTCGAGTCCAAACACTGGCTAAAGGATACTTTCGGCAGACTGAATCTTTGTAAGTTTTGGAAAAACACATTTAAGTTGACAAATGAAGACTGACATTTTGCTATGCTTTAATAGGCTGAACACCAAGCAAATCTTTTTCCTTTATTTGTTCATTTTGCAATAAGTCTTGACATCACCTTCTCCTCTTTCTTAAATTTGCTTACTTAGCAGGGCACAATGCAGTTTTGATGTACAATCTGATTTCAAAAGAATCTTTGAGACAGCTAATCTGTACACTCACTGTAATAAAATATTACAGCACAAACGGTATATAAGATACTCACTTTCTTGAGAACCTCTTAGCACCAACGAGCAATGACATTAAAAAAGTATAGATTTTCAGAGTGTTGTGTATGGGTCTTTTTTTTTTTTTTTTTTGTAGATTTTCCAGCTTGAATCTTTAACTCTTATAGCACCCAGAGCTTGCAGAGTAAAGCCTTCTATGCCACAGACTGGAAGTATCTTTATTCATTGCCTTCCATTCCTAAACTCATTTTATCTCCGTTTAAAATCTGCTAGTAGACTGATCTTACTTTCAAGCTGCTCGCTTCATCCTTGAAAATACACGATAGAAAATGTCATACTGAATTAGACTAAGAGCCAAGTTTAATTCTTGGTCTCTTATGGCAAACATCACTAAAATACGTTTTGTGAGAGAGCATGGCTGCGATCTTTGGCTTTTTAGGTCTACTGACTGATTTCCACGGTCGGCCCTTATCAACGAGTCCCTTTCCCATTCCCACCATCCAAGCTGAAATCATGCGATGTTCCATAAATTCACAATCATCATTAGACTCTCATTTTTCTTACAACCATCTCTGTCTACTTCAAGAAGTAACTTACCTAACTCTGGATTTGGTGAATAAATCCCCCCAAATCCTGACCTTCATGGTTTATTCCGACTTTTTCTGGACTGAGAAGCTAAGTTTTAAAAAATGTGCTTTTCTTGACAAAATAAACAAAAACGTGGTAGAAACACCGAAACAGTCCAATAACAACTCATTAAATATATGAGCGTATGGTCCCCATCATTTAATAGACCTGTGGCCCCATCCTCCCAGGTGACCATTGTTCGGTTCTGTATGGGGACTTCCCGATATATTCTAAGTATGGAGGTTAAATATATTCTTTTGGACACACCTTTCCCCCACTCCTTCTTGAAACTGCATAAAATGGCAGAGAAGCATAGCTTTCTTTCTCAAGGACAAGAGAGTACAGGCACACAATTTTCAAATCTCGGAAACAGATGGTAATTAACTTCTGGACCAAAGAGAACTTAAAAGATTGCAACATAGAGACCCCTGAAACAGTCAGGTTGACACTGCAGAGTTCCAGAAAGGCTTCAGAATGGAAGGATCCAGAAACCTCTGAAGCTGGCACTGTAAATGGGATTGACTGCAACTCTGTTTATAAGGCATTTTGATCTCAAGCTCCCTCCTGTACCAATCCCCTCTCCCCTCACACACCAGGAGAAACCTCTTCAGAGGTCAAACCATGGGTATTCCATGTACAGAGAGACTAGTACATTTGAAGGAAAGGGTATTAAATGAAGCACTCCTTCCTTTACACAACTCAGAACAAAAGAGCAGCTAGGCTTTGCACTGACAGGCAGAAGAAATTGGACCAGAGAGAAAGACCCATCAATACTGAAAAGTCAAGGTCATACGAAGTGACTCAGCCAGAAAAGCAATAAGTGAGACTCACCAGTCAAAAGTTAATTCCATATACACAGAGCTTGTAATTTGTTTTAAAATATGAACATATAGCAAAAGATGACCAGATATTTGAGAAAAGCCCCACATATGAGACACCCAAAACACAAACAGAAAAAAAAAAAAGAGTCAATGAAGAGAAGAAAACTTAAAAGAAACGAAAATAATCAGAGAGGATAAATGCTACTAAATAAACAAAGTAAGAACAGGAGGTAAATTTGAAGAACAAGTTTAAAAAATAGGACGGAATAAGTAAAAAGCTCAAGAGAATGGACAGTAAGGAGGTTCTCAAAAAATCTCAAGAAATCTTTTAAAAGGTGACAATAGAAAGACAAAAAGATTAACAGTAAGAAGGAGTAACGGAAAATTACAGACAGAATGTAGGAGACTGAGTATCAAGTAACAGAAATTCCAGAGAGACTGGACAGAGAAAATAAGGAGGGGACAAAGTTCTCGAAGAAATTATTGCTTTGTTATTATTATTTTTGCAGAACTGAATTAAGATTTTAGATTGAAAGAACTGTGGAGTGCCCAGCACATCAGTGAGCAATGATCTTTACCAAGTTAGATCAGTGTGAAATTTCAGAACAGTAGGGACAAAAAGATTCTATTAACTTCGAGAGGGGGGAGGGGGAAGAGAGAGAGAAAAGACCAAACAGGTCAGGAATCAGAATGCTATGTGATTTCCTGAGAAAATTATTGAAAGCTGGAGGACAATAGGTCAATGCTTTCAATGTTCTCAGGGAAAAGATGTGCCACCCTAGATTCCTATCCCTGGACGACTTGTCACCACGCAGGAGGTAGAGTAAACACATTTTTAGGCATACGAGATCTCAAACATTTATCGTGCAGCCTTTCTCAGGAAGTAATGGAGGATTGTGTTCCACTCCAAAATATGAACATTAAAGGAAGACCAGGGATATGGAGAAGGTAAAATAGAATCTTCGAGACAGAAAAGGGAAATCCTACAATGTTCTGCATCAGGACTGGAAACAACCACTGTGGAAGGAACAATAAGATGGGGAGTCCCAGGAGGCATTTCTAACATTATAATTAAGAACTTACATATTACCTGATGTGTTGCAATGTATTAACAATATATGTTTATTCTGGAGAGGAGTATGGGCATGATTAATGATGGGTCGGCACATGAGAAGTATATAAAAAATGAAGCAAACTGAAAAGGAGAAAATTTTAACTCTATAAGAAGATGTAGAAGAAAGGAAATATAATAATTGATGATGCTGTAATAATTGATTTAACTGAAGTTATGCTTTACATATACTAAAAGGATGGGGGAAGGGAAATGTGTGTCTTAGAGGGGGATTGTATGAGACAGCCAAATCCCCACCTTCCTTTGTAGGAAGTCAACAGTTAGTAATCTAAAAAATGAAATCAATCAAGAAATACCAGTGTAACATATTAACCTGAAATAGGAAGGGAGACACCAAAAGAAACTGCTACAAGATTGGAAAGTGACAGCCTCTGAGAAGCAGAAATGAGGGTTGATGGGGAGAGAGATGCTGGTTGTTATTCAACCCTCGAGAGTTGAGTTTTAGAAATATGTATATATATTATATCGTCCACCTATATTATATAAATATACATTATCCATATAATATTTATTATATATATATGGAAAAAGTTTATCCTTTCCAGACTTTTATAACAAGGTTTTTTTTCCTCTAAGCATTGTATCTGTATCTATAGATACATTAAAATGTAATTCTATGCAATGAAATTATGCTGCGAACAGAAACAGTATATTGTAGACTCCTCCGTACTTTGCTGTGCTCTTATAAAATACCTTGCAGATCATCTCTGTCAGTATCAGCATGAGCAGCGGACTTCATTCTTTTTCACAGTTACATGCAATTTCATTGTAAAGATGTATTTGGTGACATGCAAACTTGTGAATGTGTGTGTTGGGACAGTACAATCCCAGAAGTAAAATTCTAGGTCCGAACTCGGAGGCATGACTCTATATTGCCCTCTGAAGATGCTGCACTCAAATTTCTAGCCTCACCAGCAACTGCTACACACGCTTAACCAACACTGCGTATTCCAAACCATTCCATCTCCTCCATCTGGTATGGGAAAGGATGTATTGCCATTATTGATTTAACTTGAATTTCTTTAAATTTATTTTCCTAAAAACTGTCTATTCAATCCCAATTGAAAAGTCTGCCCTCATTCCAATCCCTTCTCCAGTCTCTTCTTACTTCTCTATTCCATTTCTCATAATTGTTTGTCCTTCTCTTCCTTTATGACACTGGAAAAACTTTATCTATTCCAGAAAACTTTTATAGTAAGGTTTAAAAAAATTTAATGTTTATTTATATTTGAGAGAGAGAGAGAGAGAGAGAGAGAGAGAGAGGGACAGAGTGTGAGCTGGGGAAGGGCAGAGAGCGGGGGGGTGGGGGGGAGACACAGAATCCAAAGCAGGTCCACGGAGCCCTATGCGGGGCTTGAACTCACAAACTGAAAGATCATGACCTGAGCTGAAGTCGGATGCCTAACCGACTGAGCCACCCAGGCGCCCCTAAAATAAGGTTTTCATTTCCTCTAAGCATTGTACATTTATGTACTGACAGTCACAATTATAGATACAATCCTTGGTTTTCAAGATGCATGCCAAAATACTGATCGCGACCTAATGATAATCACAAAGATATAAAGAGAATTCTTTGTGCTGATGTTCATCATATGGTATTTCATGGAATATAAGATGTGACTGATTGCAGGACACACAATTATTTCATGAACTACTAAAAAGTAACAATGCTGCCAATTAAGAGAAAAAAAAACCCCACAATGCTTTCTTAACACTTACAATTTTTATTTTATACTTTGTGAATATTATACAATTCATATTTTTACATCTATGGAAGTAAAAGCACTATGTAAAACTGTTAACATATTATAGGCTATAAAACATCAGGTAGAGTGTATTTTGAAAACTAGTAAATCTCTAGGAGCTGTCTTCGTAAAACAATGCCTACAAAATGCCAACATCGGTAAAACGGGGGCTGCTGTAGTGTTGGCTTAAGGATTTTAAGCCACTTAAACAATCAGTTCTGTAAAGCAAAATTCATACTCCATTAAGTCACCATGAAAAACTTTCTGAAAAGCTTTTTAGTACCCATGACTATAATTCTATAATGTATGAATTCCTATTATACACTTTGAGAAGCTTTATGGCTCTGTGATTTATTTACACCTATTAAAATGTTGATAAGATTAATCTCACTGGCATGTATTACCATACCAGAGGGACTAAGATCAATGTCGGTTTGGTAACCAACAAAAATTTTCAAAGTTTGAAGAAAGACATTAATCCACAGATATATGTACAAACAAAAAAACTAAGTTTCTTGATTCAAGGGCAGGTACATTTATTTTAAGATACTATAAGAATGTACAACAGGTTGCTTTACAATTATATTTTATCATAAGAACAATGAACTGGATAAATTAAATGAACTTCTTAATATGAAATGATACCGAGAAAACAGCATAAACTTTTTACCATGTAGGCTTTCTGTAGAGTACGATACTAAAATTTATGTATAGTTTCATGTTTCTAAAGAATAATTTGTAGATGGAAATACTGAGAATAACGGCATACAT